CCTCCCGATCTTTTACACTTCATGTTATTGTACACGATCCATTTTTCGTCTCCAGTTACCATATGCTGCAGAAATGGATCAGTTTTCTCAGGTTTTCCGAGTGAATCGCTGATGGAAATGCGTTGGATTAAATGAGATTCACTCAATTCGTGCAGAACATAAACACTGAGACGGTTAACACAACCAAGTTGATGCAGGTTTTCCATGCTCGATTTCGATATTTGGAGGACGTCTGCAATCTTTCGCGTCGTGTAATATGGATTGGTGTCGACTACTGTCTTCAATTTGTCGCTGTCGATCTCATTTGGTCGGCCTAAGCGTGGTTTGTCTTTGACGGAAAAACCTTCGCACCGAAATCTCGCAAACCACTTTGACACACGCGTTTTTTCACAGCATCCACATATATTGCACAAATCTTTTTACAAATTTGCGCCGCGTTTTTGCCTTTTTTTAAGTAAAAAAGCAAAATATGCCGAAAATGCTCTTTCTGGTTATCTATTTTCAGATGACGTAAAATTCACAAGATATACAAGATACGCAATCTTTACGTATATTTTTTAAGTGCACGTTGAAATGTCATCTGTCAATAACTATACGCTTTCAAGACTTTCCACTGAAGATAAAGCTTAGCAGAGCGCCTTGAAACCATTTATCGAGAAATACTGCACGGAGTTATTGGCCAAGCAAATACACGAAAAAATATATTGCGAAGAGTAGTCTGATAGAATGCTTCTACCATTTTAATAGAAGTTAATTAACGACTTAATGATTGAACAGGATTAATCAGTTGCTTCTTTGAATTTATATATCGCTTGCCTCTATTGAGAAGTACCTGCACATCCTTGTGCTCAGCTAACAGTAACAAAGTGAAACATATAGCCATTGCTGTCGTATCATGACCCTATAATCAGTTTGTATGTTAGATGCATATAAAAAAATAATCACTATTAAATTAACGTAACATTGTTTAGTTAAACAAGATTTCATTAAATTAAGTTTAAATTTTCTTATTATAATAAAATATTCTTGTAGCTAAGTAGAACATTTAGATCTAACAATAGTTAGTTTGGTTACTGCTGATCAAGTTATAATATTATAATATTTATTATTATTATGATGACTGCTTGGCAAAAAATCGACTACTAAATATTCAGTGTAAAACAATAAATATTTTGAATCTTACGTAAGGTGGTTAAAATATCGACTACAAAAATGTAAATCATTAAAGTAACCAAATAAAGAAATAAGTTTAGTTAATAGTTTCTTTGGCCAATCGTATGTAAATAAATTTGTCTGATTACCTTAATCAAAAATATAATTCGTTCATATTTCAATAAACAATCTAGTTCGTGCCTGTTCTGATTGATTCTGATTAATTTTGAGCTACTTTTTTACATATATCTTCGTATAATATATCAGGCTATCGAAAAAAATTACACAAATATACATACTTTGAACATGAAGGTATCCACTTCCTCTCTAATATCTAAATCACTCAAATGATTTTCCTTCGAAACTGCTATTAAAAGATCCAGCATAGCAAGTCGCTTTTTTCGAACTGAATTAAATAAAAGATCATAAGCTATAATTGACGTCTATCCCTTACTTAAATCTTTTATTTGTGATATACTATTTTCATGTACGCAATTAGTATTCAATATGAACGCAATTAATAAGCAATAAAGATTTCGTTAAAAACCGAATACAAACAATAAATTAGTTTCACTTTAGAATATATAGTTAGAATAACGTAATTATGATTTTGCGATATTAGAATGAACTCAAAATATAAAGTTACGTACATCCATGTATTTCTACGTCATCTGTTTCTATCGCATCATCATTTGCGAAACTATGCAAATATTTATTGTTCGTATGTTCGTGATAAAGTTTTCTTTCCGCTATGATCTAAAAATAATGTTAAAATGAAAGAAAACATTAAATTATTTTATGGCTCGTGTTATTGCGCTATTTCACTAATAATTTTATCCGTACTTGTATAGAATATTCGCGTTTAAATTTCGCGCACTGAAAGGCTCAGTGGATATTGAGTAACTTGATTTTTACGTACATTTTCAGTGAATCCATGTAAGTTTTGTAGTGTCTTCTTTTGCAATTTGCTCGCAGAAGTCAACGCAAATATCAGGTCGTGAAACAACCAGGGTCTTACTAATCTAAGTAACATAATTTATAATGACAAGAGAAAAACTTGAAAAAATAATGATATTAGTAGTTTCTACATAATTACGTAATGAAAATATTTAATAATAAACAAATAAAATTAAAAATTGAGTGAGTTAGAAGGCGTAAGTTTATCATACATTTTTCATTTTTACTTTATTCTTTTTTTTCTGTGGCTGTAAATTATTCGACTAATATCAAGATATAATTTTGTCCTCAATTCGGTAACATATTCAATTTTTTACAATGTTTTTACAATGTTATTTTTTACAAATATCCAACTTTTTAAGAGATTTAAATAATCTTTTTTTAAGACTGCAAGACTTAACGAATCGTGTAATATATGAATTGTATATTTGGATGCATCTTTATCTTAATTATGACTATTTTTCTTCATATTATGCGCTATTATATAAATATGTATATTATTTGCCACAATTATTGATTACCTATAAACACAAATTTGACCCATTTGACGAACCTCCTGTCGATATTTTTTTTGAGCTTCACCGAGACTGTGCAAGGAGGTACCCATGGCAGTTTCTATAAATGCAGACAGGTCTTAAGAACTGTCTACAATGGGAGTAAAGTATGGCCGTAAGAAGTAAAAGTAAGAAATTGTCCAACCACAATAGTTTATACTTCTCATATTCAATTATGATTGGTCAATTTACTTCTCTTACTTCTCACAGCCATACTTTACTCTCCCATTGTAGACTGTTCTTTAGATATATATTAAGTAAACTCTCTATACTCTCTATACTCTCTATAATTATGTGACGAAAATATACAATGATTTACCGCAAATTGCGTTTAGCGTGTGTTCAGAAACAAATGGTAATACATCTATTTCAACCGTCCCGCCGATGTTCTTCAATTCGTGTGTCATGCGTTCACTTTCCTCCAATAAAATATCGGTAAACTGTCGCAGTATATTAAAATGGAATGCGGGCGTTAGTATCTTTCGCCGTGAATGCCACTTGACACCTAAAGCAAAAATGAGATTATGATTGACATTATTTCTCCAATCATTTGTAATTGGAATATTATCGTAAAGCGCGCGATAACGCCATGAAATGAGAAAAATAATATCAAATAAAAAAAAATGAAAGAACAATATCAATAATTTTCGAATGCAATGAGCAACTCTTACTCTTTCAGTTTATCACTTAATTAAATAACTTTTATATGGTATTTAAAATACACGTATTTCGTAAGCTCAAATGCGAAAAATATTTTTTGGTAAGAAATAATTTATTTGGCGGTTTTCTAAATATAGTT